TATAAAAAAGTAAAAAGAAATAAAAATAATTTATAATCTATAATTGCTATTAGAACCCAATTTTAATATCCTGCTAATATATGCTATAGACATTTTCCTATACATATATTCTATATCTGTACATATAGATATAGATTTGTATATATGTAAATAGTTTTCTACATTCCTGAACTCTTTTTGTTTTTAACTTTTATGCTTTTCCTACTACTGTTTTTATTAAAATAAAGTTAGAATTGTTTGAGAATTAATAGTGAAAAACTCCTCATTAGAACTTCTCTGGGTCAACTGTGAAACACTGGAGCATGGATCTAATAATTTGACTACACAGACTTTTCTCTCTTGGGTTTGAATTCCCAGATGTGTTCTAAAGAGTTTGAAGTTCTTTTAAAAAAAAGTGTGATATTACTTTTAGCTATGTGGAGAGACTCACTGGGTTTGTGATTAGTTCTATCACTGTCCTAAAATAAACTTCCTTAGAAGTTAAATATCCATAGTATATCAAAAAATTAAAATTATTAGTTAGGGCTTTTTTTTGTGTGCTTGGACACAGTAGAGGAGAGATTTTTGTTCACAGTTTCAGAGGTTTTCAATCAAGGTCCAGCCTGCTAGGAGGGATGGTAGAAGGTAGAAGGGCATGGTACAGCAAAGCCACTTAGTTCATGGAAGCAGAGCAGGGGCAATTGAGCAGACTAGACACTCAAACCCAAGGCCACACCTCCACAATCCACCCTGACACACCTAGAAGTGTTCTCTACTGATCTATCCCTGCAGCAGAGTCCAAAGCCAACCAAGTTGAAAGTCCACTCTAACTTCTACAATTCCCTTCAATAGATCTTTTGCATATGTCATTTTAACTCTTAAACCCTTTTCCTTTTCTTAAAATTTGAGATAATTCCTATCCCATAGATTATGGTAAGGATCAAATGCGATAAAACCTATGGAATGATGTAAAAACACTTAATAGAAATATTAAGTGCTAAACAAGTTTAAGGTGATATTTTTATACGGTAGGTAGAAAAGACCTATTTGGTATTATATATATTAGAGATTTTCAAAATTTTAACACAAATTTATGAATCTGTGAATATAATGACCTACAAGAGGAAGATTAATGCACCTGGCAGTATGCTTAATTGACACACTTCAGAGCTTTAGAATCTAAAATGTATTCCCTGTTCCACCAGTGGCTTTTGTGGTAACCTTGAACCAAGCAAAACTTACCTCCAGTGTAATAAAGGAGACTGAAATTTTATACTGAAATAGCTTTAGTCTAGATAACTCAAAACTGCAGGAATGTATGGAGCATACAAATCAATCACTTTTCAAAATTTTCCATTTAAATAGCTAGTTAAACTGTTCTTTAGTATAGTTATATTCATAACCATGTGAAAGGACAGAAGGGAATGGAAATTTACTGGACAATTGACATATTCTTGGCTGCATACTACATTTTTGGTATTTATTTTTGCTTTATTTAACTATAGCAGAGCAAAAAGAAAAGGCCCAACTGATATAGAAATCAAGATGTGGATAGACAAAATAATCGCTATCCCTCAGTTTATCAGGTAGTGTCAAAGACTAGAATAATGGCTTGAATATTTTCCTTTTCTTGCTTTGCTTACTTGATGGACACCTAATAAATATGAAATGGGTTGGACAGAGAAAAATTGGGTGGGAAATTGAGTAGTACATGCAGGAACCAACAAAATAGTTCACTGTAACAGTTTAAAAGCTGGCCTCATACTATAATCATGTAATCTAATTATAGATTTTAAGAAATAAACTATTAAACTTCTCAGAGAAAGGAAATCATAAAATTTGATATTCCAGATGATAACCCTAAAAATGATATTTATGGAGTGCTTGCTATGCCCCAGGGACTCTTTGTTCTAAGGGTCTTAAGTGTACTGATTCCTCTCATCCTGTGGTAGGCAGAATAGTGGGCCCCTGAAACTGCCCATAGATTAATCCCTGGAACATGGGAATATGTTATGATACTTGGTAAAAGAGACTTTTCAGAAGTGATTACAGAATTGATCTTCAGCTAGGTGGATTATTCTAGATTGCCATCGTGGGCCCCATGTAATCACAAAGATCCATAGAAGTAAACGAGGGAGGTGGGTGTCAGAGTTAGGAGGCATGAGAAAGACTAGGCTGCCTCTGGCTTTGCAGGTGGAGGAATGGACAGCTTCTAGAGGGTACTGGAAAAGGCAAGGAAATGCACCTAGAATCTCCACAAAGAAGTGCAACCTTCTCCAAACTGTGATTTTTAGTACAGTAGGAAACAACAGTTTGTACTTCTGATCTCTAGAACTGTGAGGCGACAGGTTGTATCGTTTTAAGCCACTACATTTATGGTTGTTAAAACCACAATGAGAAATTAATAAAATCCTCACAATAAGCCTCTCAGCTACATTGTATCGTTATCTCCAATCCACAGATGAATAAAGTACAGTTTCTCAAAGGTACAGAGCTACTATGAGCTGAAGGTGCGATGTGGTTGTAGATATTTGGCTTCAGATCCCATGAACCAGAAACCTTCATGGTATCAATTCTGGAGTTTTGGCAAAATTGCAGCTCTAGGATCTTCTGTGAGTGCTTCTATCCATAAGACCTTGGAGTTCATCTGAGACATATGCCTAATGCACAGTTCTGGAAGTAGGACATAGTCTTCTCTTAATGCTGTGACTGTTGTTACTGCAAACTACAACAACACCAGCATCAACAAAGTCCACTTCAGTTCAAGGATGAAACTGTATCACCACATGTCTGTCCATCAGAAATTGCTTGCACAACCCGGGAGAAGCTCCGGGAGAAGTTAGTGCAATTAATTCTCAGGAAAGAAAATTATTAATTGAGCAAGTTGTGATTTTCATTAGAAATTCCATTATGGAAATCTTCTAAAAGTGAAAATATTGTATGTATGTATGTATGTATGTATTTATGTGTGTATGTACGTATTTGGTTCTTTTTGAGACAGGATCTCATTTTGTAGTGCAAGCTGCCCTTGAACTCACTATATAGCCCAGGCTGGCCTTGAACTAACAATAATCCTCCTGTCTCAGCCTCCCAAGCGCTGGGATTACAGGCATGCACTACCATGCCTGGCTAAAAGTGAAAATATTTTAAAAGAAAAAAAGATTAAGTTGGCTACTATGAAGAGATTGATTCATCAAATTTAAAAATATTAGACAAAAGTGTTCAAAGGAATTTCTTTGTCAGTAGGTGGGAAGTGTTCCAAGAATGTTTGTCTCTAGCAGACATGGATCTTAACTCCATGCCTGGCTTTCAGAGACAACTTAAAACTCCACTGATAAGAGATTACACAAACATTTAAGGAGTTTATGGCTATGCCCGAATGGTTTAATATCTAGCTATCAACAAATGTATCTTCAAATGTTTGGAGTGTCAGTTTGATCACTTTAATTTGCAAAGTGTTTCTTTGTTGGGTTAGAAAGTGCAATCTTTGATCTATTCTCTGGCTTCTTTTCGTGGTTTCAGTTTCCTGAAACACAGGTAGTACAGCACTGACAATTAAAAACCTTGGCTTTGGAACTTGCAAGACCTATACTTGATTCCACCTCACTTGCTTATTATGTGAAGGATTTCAGATGAGCTGATCAAAGTTAGTGCCTTCATATCAAAAGTGCATTATATTATATTATTTTGTACTGCTGGTTCCCAGAAAGCAGTAAAAATGGTAGCTACAAGAATTTTACATCCCAACCTCATTACAAACTGATTCCTGTTTCCGGTGTTACCTACAAACACAGCATCACAGCCAGGGGGTGTTTTCCTTATCAGGAATAGAAAGGTAGATGTTCATTCTAAAATATTTCTTCACTTTATGAATCACATTTCTTTCCTTTATGAATCAGTTTAAAAGGCATAAAGTCACCTTATTAGCAACTCTGATTCTTGAGAACTTGGGAAAGGGAAGAAGTATTTGTTCTCAAATTTAAGCGAGAAGATGGAGAAGAGAGATCAGTGTTTGTCCTGACCAAGAATTAGCCTCATCAGGGGAGGAGACCGTAACTGTCAGTGAGCACTTACCCTGTGCCATTAATAGTATTATCTCAACTAATCCACGTAGGGACTCCTTTGAATTAGGTATGAAGGCAAGTTTTTCATAGATGGAGCAATTAGTAACAAAGGGGACAAAGTAACTTCTTCAAGGTCACACGGGACAAGCTGGGATTCAGACCCACAATGCCAACTGGCCTCTCATACAGGCTACTTGGCAATAGATAAATCAGCCCTTGACTGGTTAAATATGATTTAGGCAGAAGACACTTGTTTATTGCTGGGAATGAATAATGATTTACACTGAAAAAGAGGTTATTGAGTGGCAAACAGCATATGGGCATAATTTCTGCTATTATCCTGTCATACTTCAAAGTGATTTTTCTCCTGGCCACATAATTATTGTACCCCTAGCTGTGTAAAGAAAAATGCTTTTCATTAACTCATTGCTGCCATTATGTGGCTGAGAAGATACAGTAGGCAGACACAGGTGCAGCAGAAACAAGCAACTTTTCAGCAAGTTTTCTTCTGTGCCAGGGAATTTATTTTTCATTTCAAAGGAGATTATGGTTCAAAGGCTAGAGAGCTATAAGATTCAGTTCTGGAGCTGAAAATTCTAACAAAATCTAAAGGTAGATTTTTCTATTTTTTTTTCAGAATGATAAAAATCACTAGCTAGGTTCTCCAAATCTATTGAAGATAAGATGTAGTGCCTTTTAGGACGTTGTATATAATCCAGGTCAGGGACATATTCATATCTCATTTGTTAAATTTCTCATGCTTTCTCCTCCTAAATTGATTTGTCAAGAAGCATTGGTTGGGCAAAGGGCCTTAAATAAAGAGAAAATACTTCATTTGTTGGCATTATGTGTGACATTACTGATTATAATGAGTACATATAAATGATTTAATTTTTTTCAGTTTTGTATTGATTTTAACTCACCATGAATCTTTTTTAGGATTTCACCCTTGACTACCACTGTCTTCAACAGAGAAATAGAAGATGTCCCTTGTTGCATTGCTGCCCTGCTTCAAGACATAGCAGATCTGTATTTCATCAATGTCAGCTGCAGAAAAAGAGCAAACATCACACAAAGTTGTATTGGAGCAGCAGAAAACAAGGATATTAACCACTTCAGGGCTTTAACTGTGCATGGAAATACTGCAATAAATAAAATTTAACATAATGATGACATGAACACGAATCTGTCTGCTTCCTACAGTTGTAATGGCAAAAATAAAATTTAATTTAGAACTTTTCTATAGAGCTACTAGATGCATGTCCTCTGAGACAGTGTATAACAAGGAGCACATTATGGCTGTGCTTGCTTTACAGGATCCTGGTTCTCTTTGGACAGCCTTGTGTTAAGCTTGCATCAAGCACTCTCTTATTAAGCTTTCTGTACAAGCATAGAATTTGCCATAATGAGGGATACTCATTAAAACCATGTCAAAATGAATTAAAATAAGAGTTACTGCTACATCTTGAGGAAAAAGAAAGTGAAAATAAAAGCACCATTTTTAATTCTATTGCTTATTTTCAGGTTTTTGAGAATTTATTCCCTGGATGTATAATTGTATTTTATTGGTAATTATTAGGATTTTAAAGACAATTTGGGAGGGATTAATGAGAACAGTTTTTACAGTGCCATAAATGATTTCATTTGCTTTAGAAGCAATTCTGAAAATGTAAACAACTATTTTTAAAACACACTCTGCAAGTTTTACTCTGAGATTGCATCCATCTTACCTGTATTATATGTGAGAAATTTTATGCATCTCTTTATGTGTCATGCATAGAACTACTTAAAGAAGTTGTAAGACAGTGTAAAGAGCAGCCAGAATATATCAGGCCACATCACTTGGGAAAGCAGAGGGACCTGCCTTTAGTTCATCATTAGTAGCAACACAAATATAACATATAACAGGAAATTATCTTTAAAATATGGTCCTGCACACACTTAGGCAAACTTAGTTCTATTTTTTTTTTAAATGTGGAAATTACATTTGAGTAGTAACTAAAAATGTGCAGTGTAATAATTTACACCCAGACTGTAGACAGCAAACATCTTTAAAAATCTAGACACAAACAAAATATAAAAAGAATTTCTAGAGGTCATTTGTAAAATTCAAAATCAAACTGATATTATAGAAATTAATGCAATCATACAGAGACTGAGGCTGCCCTCCAGTTGTTTTACAGTTTTAAGGTATAATTACAAGCTTTATTAAATATCTGTGGCTTCTTGTTAGATGAGCATGGTGATGAAATAGCTGAAAAAAGATTTGTTGCCTTTTTTGTTTTTATTCCGCCATAGTTTATAAGAAGCAGATGTTACTGCAAATGGGCTGGGGTGAGGATAGTTTTACAAAGAGCTGAGAGCTCTCCACTGAAGGAGGGAGATATGGGCATCAGGGAAGAATGACACTGACCTTGTATAAACACTCGCGTGCTCTCCTCTTCAAGGCCAGTGTTGCCAATGCAGCCATTCTCTGGTCCCCTTGTCGCTTTGTACTTCAGAAGCCTGAGAGGACTGTCTTGATCTTCTGCCTTCAGAGACTTAATAGTGATGAGGAAGCCCATGTGTCCATCGTGAAGGCACTGCAAGGCTGGGGCACCCCTGTTAATGACAATGTGGGGAACCTTGTTGTCGGCAGAGCTTATCTGGACCCTCATTACTTGAGGTGTGTGTGACTCCAGGTCAGTGTCTGACATAGAAATCATTGTCCATGCCATCTGTCATGGTCAAGGAGAAACTGTCCTCAGTGGTCTCACTGTCATCATGCCAGTAGCTAATCAGGTGCTCATTCAGTTCTTGCTTGGTGAAATTAGTCACAGAATGGCTACCATTATATAAAATCCTACCATGGACAGGGACCTGATTGATTGTAAAGAGAATAAAATCATCAGACATATACTTGTCTTCCACTGTCAACTCAAAAGAAGTGACCAGTTTGCTGTCCCCTCCCTGCAGTGTTAGTTTATGGAGGGTCAAGATAGGTTTCCTGTTGTCTGCATCCATGATGAAGATCCTGAGGGTCCTGAAAACAGAGCCGTGACCACCAGACACTCTGAGCTCAAACTTATCCCTCTTTATTTCATCATTTGAAATATGGACATAGTATATTTTGTTGCTAGCCAGTTGAAGCTCAGTGAAAGAGGCAATAGACTCCCCAGGCTGGCCAGAACATTCCAAGTGGCCCAGGCTAGAAGCCTGTGTAATGCTGAAGTGAAGTTGTTCACTAGGGCTGTGGATGTCACTTGTGTTAAGCAGTTCAGTGATGAGGGTCACTCTGTCCCCTTCCATCAAGGTGATCCTTTTGCTGACTACTCTAGGAAAGATCCCATTTAAGCTGCCAATAGTGACATAGAAGTATTGGTCTGTCATAGAATTGACCCCATCAGTTACATCAAACTTGATGTAAGAGCAACAACTCCTTGGTCTGACTGAGTATAATGGGTGAGGCCTCTGTCAATTTCATCCTAGGTAAAATTCATTCCCAAAGTGAGTTTGTTCCTCACTTCTCCTCCAGGTTTTCTCAGCCTCTGAAGAAGCCCTTGTTGAGGCCCAGAGTGGAGGACAAAAAGGAGGCTCTTCTCATTTGAGTTGAGATCTGTAGCCTTGAGGACCTGGTTTGTGATGACTTTAGAGTGTCCAGTCTCTGTTTCCACCCCACTGTTAGTGGTCAGCTGTGGGGTTTGATCATTCACTGGGATCACCACAATGGGTACCTTTGAGTGGGCAGTGTGCTTGCTGTCACTCCGCCAGACCTCAAAACTGTCCTGGGTGGTCTCTGAGTCATCATGCTCTTACACAATGGTGGATGCCTCCTGGATCTCCTGTAAGGTAAAGCAGCAGACGAGCTGGTTACCTGTGGCCAGCTGCTGTATGATTCACCCATGGCGAGGGAGAGCTGTGAGTTGAAAGTGAAGCTTATTTGGTGGCAGGTAAGCATCTGCTCCATTGAGCAATGGGGTATCTATGACCAGGCTCATCCCTTCTGATACCAGAAACTCATGGGCAAAAAGCTCAGGCTGCTCATGGTTGGTGGGTATGATGATGATAGGGAGGAAGACATTCGGGGAGAAATTGATGCCATCAGAGCAGTGGAATGTGAATTGATCTGCTTGTGGTTCTACCTGCTGTGGAGACTCTGTACATAAGTGATATGTCCCTCTCGGATATCCTTGATGTAGAAGGCACTGATTGCTTTACCAGCCCACAGCACTTCTGAACCAGGAGCTGGTGCAATGTTCTCCAGGTAGCCAGAGGCTGGCTGCCCAGTCACTGTGCATAGGATTTCATCTTTAGGAGTGTCTGCATCTTCAGTGTTGAGGTGTTTAAGGTCAAGGGGCTCTTCTCACCTTCGTAGACAATGAAGGACTCCCCCACTAAGACCTTGGGGGTGGTGTTGTCCACTGGCAGCACAGTCATTTGTACCTGAACCTTCTTCATTTTGCTGTCTCCTGCTGCCCAGTGATAAGAATCCTCAGAGAAGATGAGGCTGAAAGCACCATGTTGCTTTTGGAAACCAACTTCACCTCCAGTGTGGACATAGGTTACTGCCCCACTGACGACATCTTCTTGGGTGAATCATTCTGTGGGCAAACCATTCACTAGAATAGTGCTCAGTTTGCGGCTCTCTTCCACAATGAAAGACAGCACCAAGTCATTTATGTCCTTTCTACCATGAGTAACATCTGTGGTGATTTCAGTGGCTCTATTCTCTAGTGTACCTATGGAAATATTCAGTGATGAACTATCTGTGGTAGAGATCCTGGGACTTTTGTCAACCATAGTGGGATGCACAGAAATAATGACAGTGATGGGAATATGATGCATCCAGTCACTTACCTCCAGATGGAAGATGTCACTGGTAGCCCAGTCTTTGCTGTGCTGGTAAGAGACACTCCCATTAATAATATCCGCTCATGTGAAAGATTCTCCTGGAACCATATATTTTTTAAAGTATTGTAAGTGACCATGTTGGGACCCCAGATTAATATGAAGACAATTTGGTCAATGTCTGTGTCAGGGTCTATAACATCTAGCTCATTGCTGCTGAGGATAAACTTATCTCCCTCTGAGATGGTAAAACCTTTGTTGGTGACTTCTGGAGGCTGGTTGTCCACAGGCTGCAAGAATATTGTGAATGTGCCTGGCACACTATTGTCTGCAGTGTCCTCCACCTGGTAGGTGAACTGTACAACCTGAGATATAATACCCGGTTTCTTGTGTGTGGGCTGGTAAGCAATCTTGTGGTGATTTACTTGGGCCTCGGTGAAATGCATGATGAGTCTGTCTGGTGAATCAGTGAGGACAGTTTCTTCTGCCTGGACTTGGTGGTTGCTATCTGTGTCAGTTGGGGGGTGTCAGTAAGGTGTACCACAGGTTCAGGTCATCTGAGACCTGGTCAACATATTGGAGAAATTTCTTCTGGGAGTGAGTGAGCTGATGTTTTCGCACAGTCATTTGTAGAGTAGTTCCTGGATACAGCTCTGGACTCAGCATATCCACTGGCTGGATCTTGATGGTGAAGAAGTGCTAGTTGGATAGATTGGGTGAGTCATGGTCATCCTCCACATGGAAGGCCAGGTAGGCCATTAGAGATTGAGGGCTATGTGGGCCAAGATGGTGGTAGAAGAGTCTTCCTTCCATGATGTCTCTCCACAGCCACTCAGTCACTACCATCTCATACAATCCTTCCTTTTCCACATAATGCTAGGCACTATTTAGAGGGGACAGAGGTGGTTCAACCTGCCACAGCAGCATGTCCCCCAGGTGCTGGCTTGAGTGGCAGGACCCAGAGGTCAGATCTCACTCTCCCTTATTTCCCTCTAGGGATTGATCCTCTAGCACAAAGTGGATGGCTTAGTCCTCAGAATCCATATCTGTAGCACTCAGGACAAAGGGGGAGATCTGGGCCACCTGCCCTTGGGTCAGTGAGAGTCTTGTGTTGACACTGACTACTGGAGGTTCATCATCCACAGGTATGATGGTGAAGGAGAGGAGGTACTCCACATGGTGGTGCCCATCCTCCATCTGAAAGATGATGTTGTCACTGTAGGTGTCACTCCCATCATGATAGTATACCACTTGCTCTGCTGCCAGGTCCCTGAGTGTGAAATACTTGCACCCAGTAGGTGCCCCAAGAACCACCAGCTGCCCATGTCTCAAGCTCCTGACTCCAGCCATTTTCACCTCCTCCAGATTTTCTTTGTCACTGCCTGAAATGACCTTCGAAAAGCAGTAGTCCCATGTTATAACTGGCCACCAGAGCCAGGGCATTGGTGGGCTTCACTACCACCATGAAGTCAAAAGGGTCTGAGGCGGCCCCATTGTCGCCCATCACTTCCAGCTCCAGCTGGAAGATGCGTTCCCCCAGGAAGCTCCCTGTGGGTGGCCTACAAGCAATTCTGAGCTCCCGCAGCTCTTTTTGGGTGAAGAAGGAGAATGGAAGGCCCAGGGGATCATCGGTGCTGACCACATAGCCCTGCTGCCCCCGGTGTCCTGGTGGGGCTGCGGTGACATTAAGAATGCTGAACACCAGCTCATCAGGGTCCGACTTGTCGTCCTCCGCTGCCAGTGCATCAGGGGTCAGGGCCGGTAGCACCAACTGATCGACCGCTAACGTCATCAGCACAGCGAGGTCGGGCCTGGGCACCGTGTTCGGGGCTCCCTCCTGGATCCTCACTAGCAGCCGGAAGTGTTCACGGGCCAGCACCTCTACTGACCCAGTATCTCTTCTCAGTGGCCCTAGCTGCTCCACCAACATGGGCACACAGCCTCTGTCGGGAGAGGAGGTGGTGGCGGTGTGCAGGTACCACATGCCAGCCCGGATAAAAGCCTCACAGGGCACCGGCTTGGCCCTGGGGAGCTGGGCCCCCAAGGCGTCCACCAGGAGTCCATACTAGGGCAGGGGGGCGCCCTCCAGAGGAAGTGGGGTGAGCAGGCACTTGCGGGTGGTGGGGACCCCGGACTCCGGGGAAGGGAAGCCCAGCACGCTCCGGTCCACGGCCTGGCTCCATCCCCGCAGTTCTAACACCGTCAAGGGCCTGCTGCGCGTCACCAGCTCCAGCCGGGAGAAGCCCACCTCCACCACCAGGGCGAAGGGCAGCACCCGCGTGTAGGTCGGGGCTTCCTGGCGCAGCTGGAGCAGCACCCGGGTGCGCCTGGGGGTGAGCGAGCCGACGTGGGTGTGGTGGACCTGGCGGGCCCTGAAAGTGCAGGGCAGGCGGCGCGGGGAAAGCGCGCCATGGTGCAAGGGCTGGACGTCCAGCACCGTCACCTCCCATCGGTCTCCGGGCTGCACGCCAATCACCAGGTCCCGGAGCGGATCGAGCCAGAGCGAGCGGCCCAGTGGCACCCGGAGTCCGGGGTTGGCGATCAGGACGCTGGGACCCACGGGGCCGCTGTCCTCAAGTGCTCCCCAGGCAGGCAGGAGGAGCGCCCGCTGAGGCTCGATCCCATGCAAAAGTGCCTGTCCCCGCAGCGCGTGACAACTCAGCAGCAGGCAGGCGAGCGCTGTGAGCTACGGGCGCGGGCCGGAGGGGTGCGGAGAATCCCCGGCCATGGCTCCAGGCGAGGAGGGTCCCCTGTGCCAAGAGGGGCCGCTTAGTGTCAGGCGGTGGGGGCGCTGGCTGCTGTCCAGGCGGGAGCTGCTGCGTGGATTCCGCAAAAGCCAGCCGTGGCACTGGAGTTGCGACAGGTGTTAGCTGCAGGGAAGGGGCTCCGCCACCTCCCTCTGTTTCCGCCTCCCGCTGCGCCCGCGTCCCAGTCTCTCACCGGCTGGGTCAGTTCTGTGCGGAGGAGCCATCGCTCGCGGGGCCCATTCTTCCAGGGAGTGACCCCTCTGGCGGAGCGAAGAGAAATCAGTCCTCTTCCTCACCCCTGACAGGAGTGCGTTTTCTTACAAAATTGAATCTCAGCGTCAGTGCGGACATAAAAATAAAAGCTGGCAGGAGCTGGTTTGCAAATAGGATTTTCCAGCTGCCTGTCTGATGAAACAGCTTATTCCAGGTCTTGTAATTTGGTGCTTCCAAAGCAAGCCTCGCATTTTTCTTCTGCTTAGCTATGGGGAGAAAGAGGCAGCATCAGGGCTGGCGAAGTTGAATAGTTTATAATCTGTTCCTAGCCCTGGGTCTCACATAAAACAATGGAGCGTGGAAGGAGCAGGTCCTTCTATTCCTTCTATTTTCTTAGGATGTGGTTTCCAGATCTGATCAACGGAGGCTGCGTGAGTTTATTAGACATGACTCCTAATTACTCTCTTTGTAGAAAAAAATAGAGAGTAGCCGAAGGGGAGAATGTCAAAGGAAACTGCAGAGAAAATGTTTCCCACAGTTGCTGGATCCACTGCTGTAAATCAATCTACTTAATACCTGGAATCAAGCTTGCAGATACTGTTGACTCTGTTGGGTGGGTGTGGTGTTGGGCACAATCTTATCTTAATTTTTAAATATCAGCCAAGTCAATTTAGTCACTGTGCAGAGTAATCTTTTCCTATGAATAAAATAGTAGTTGATGTACTTCCTTATAAGTGTGAATGTGACTTTTTGTTGACAAAAAAAACAAATGAATACAAAATTGTTTTGACACAAATGGCTTCAAGGGAATACAAATCTGTGGAATGTCCTCTAAATTAGTTTTTTAATATTTCTTTTACAGTGTTGCAGTGCCTCTTTTATTGACTATTTCGGCTGCATCAGTAGCTGCCAATTCTCAGAGCAAGAATGTGAATGGTGTAGTTTGAAAGAGTTAATGTATTTAAACATGAACTTTAGTCAGCCAATGAAATGCTGTGTTCTATGCAGTCCTGTAAAGGAGAATGCTAGTACAAGTCAAGAGAGCACAGATTTGTTCATATAACAGATTTAAGGTGCATACATTTGAAATAATGTATGTTTAGCTTAGTGAGGCAGTGTTAGTCTAGTGTGTCCAGAAAATATTATTTAAAATGCATTTTAATTGAAACATAAGTAAAATATCATAAGTGAAAGAGGTATTATATTTCATAAAGCCACTGCTTTGCTCAAAGGATGAGTTTTTCTAAGAGAATTTTTCTTAGTCTGTATATATTAAAATTTAGCTGGTGACTTTTCTGATGTGAGTGTAGATTTGGTTTCTGTTCAGATACCACTTACACCAGGGCCACTATCTTGTTCATGTGTTTTTTCCATTAGGGACAAAGACCGAGGCAGGCAGCTGACAGGACAGAAAGCTAAATCACTATATTTATGCGGTTCTCTTCTGACCTCCCCTTCCAGCATATATTCTCTCTGGCCTTTGTCACCATCCACTCTCTCACAGGGTCCCCCCTCTTTATTATTTCCATTTCTTCGCCTCCTAACCCTTGTCCACTTAGGATGGTTCAGTTTGGATTCCTCCTAAGACATACCAACACAACTCTTGCTCAGGTCTTTAGTATCCTTCATGTGGCAAAATCCCATGATGCTCTCTCAGAAGGGCCATGTTGCCACACCCTTCTGGTTTCCTAATACCTCCCATTTTCAGTCCCACTTCTCTGGGAAGCCCTTTGCATATGGTCTCCATGCCATGTTACTAGATTTCTGTCTGCAACTACATAACCATTCATGCATCAGTTGATAATTGTCTTCCCCACTAGGCTTGAAGCTCCGTGAGAGCAGGAAGTGTATGCTACTCATTGTTGAGACCCAGTGCTTGTACTAAGGACTAGCACATAGCCAAAATGTAATAAGTATTTGTTGATTGATTGGATGAATGAATGAATGAATGAATAGAACAGTGAAAAACCATCAGAAATAGTAACTGAAATAGCATAAGGTCCAGGTGTTGAGCAGAAGGAATGAGTACAGGTAAAGGATAACTTCCTCCTTTGCCCAAAATATGCCAGTTCATTAGGGGCTGGTGTCATTTTTGTTTAGAGAATGCAAATTTATTTTCTAGCCAAACATTGATATTATCAAACCATTTTCTTTCCACAGGGCAATTTCATTTACCCATATTGTACTTTGCTATAACATCACTTCAAATTTATCCTTTAAATCTGACCTGCATTTCAAGTCTAACACTAAGCAGGAAGTAAATGGGATATAAACTGTAAACCATCTCCATGATTTTTCATGTGCTCTACATTATGTGATTCCTAAAAAATACCCACAAGGTGGTTATGTGTCTTATCTCTAATTTATATGTAATAATAAATCTCCCTTTGTATAGGTATTATAAGAATTAAATAAATTACTACCCATAAAATGCTTGTAATAGTGTCTGGCACACAGTAAGCACTTAACAAATGTAAGTTATTATTATAATTATAGATAGGAATTGAGATTTATAGGAACTATGTAAGAAATCTTATCTTGTAAATTTTCCTACTCACACTGAAAGTGTATCCTTCAGGGAAGGACACATCACATGACCCTGACACTCCAGGGGGACTTTCCATCCTACTCTATTCCATAAATTATTGGCTCTGCCCTGAAATTCATGAAATAAATGGCGCCAATAGGGCATAGAAAGAGGACACTATGTCCAAATATCCTGCATGTCTTTGGTACAGAGTCAGTACGTTTTTAGAAAAGCCATATCCAGCTTTTAGGAGAAGTGACGGAGAACAAGGAGAGGAAGTTCTGGCCTCCCAAGCCATGAAATTCTCTGTTAACAGTTCCGACCTCTCCAGGCCAGCACATCCACTACCAGCAAGCAATTCAACCTGATCTTTGCTGAACTTATTTTTTCTCTACCAGCTGGAGAAATGAAAGGTCTTAAACTCTAAGTACCAGAGGATGCATGCCTCAAACCAAGTTGCTTGCAAAAGGTTAAGAATGTACTTGTTACACTGTTACCTTTACTTAGAGGTTTACTGTAATTGACCTGGGGCCACCAGTGGATGATTAGGTACAGAAGAACATGCTGCAGAGTGACCACAGGTGAAAAACAAAATACAAAGAAAACATTAAAGTGGCATCCACTGGCTTTGTAAGTCTTTTGTCACCTATTGGGACTGTAGCTTCAAGAGACATTGCTGTCCCGTTACACAGCCTGTCAGTGGCAGGGCAGGGCCAACTGTGTGCCCATTTCTCAGGCAGTTGGTGGGATATCTGCTTGCTAAGAATTCAGTGGCTACAAATCCATCTCCCTGTCGAATCCCAGGGCTCTGTCTCCTGGCATACAGCCCTGGAGAGAGTTGCTCATCCCCTGTGGGACCAGACACCATTGTTCTCTGCGCCTCTTCCCGTGACAGAGGGTTGTTAGGCACAGACTCCATCCAATGGGCAAAGAGAGGATTCCAAATGAAAGTAATAACATATCACACATCCCACACTTTCCAGTGAGCTGCTTCTGCGCCACATCCTCTTTGCTCCCCTTCAAAGAAGAGGCTGAATGTGAAAGTACATGGATATTGTCAGAACACTGGGAACTAGACTGTGTGGAGAAGGAAAGGGAGCGGTAAAATCGTTTTGCCTGCCATTAAGAGAAGAGAATTGATGTTTTGGGGAAAGATCCATCCTTAGGTGGTTGTGTGCACAGCCTGGATTGATTCCGTTTTGGCTTGGGCTGTTGCTGCACAGGAAGAATGACAGCAGCAGGGAGTGAAGGTCAGGGTGCCTCTCTGGAGGAAGGAGAGCAAGACCTTTGCTTCTCGGCACCAGTACAACAGCTAATTCAGACTTCCTCACTCCTGGTAGAGAAGACAACCGCGGGAGATTGCAAGGGATTTTTCAGCCCTAATCTACAATATCATAAGCAACCATCTTAACCTTAAATTATACAGCACACCAAAGAAGAAACCATTTTTTTTTTAACTTCAAAGGAGAGCACTAGGAACAAAGCTAAAAGATTGAGTTTTTCTAGTCTATTTGATGTGCTTTGTTCTACTTATTGTAAGGGGAGGCCCAGGGCTCATTTCCTTCAAAATTGTTTAAATTTTGGAAGCAAAATTTCTCATGATAAAAAGTGATATTATGCAATTGGGATTGTTTTTTGAGAACTCTTAGTTGACTCTGAGGTCAAAAATGCCTTAAAAATGACACTATTTTGTTCATTATTTGGAGTTTTCATTAATCCAATTTGAATCAGTTAATAGGAAATCTGGATTTTTAGGCATAGTCTTATTTATTAGTTTTATCTAATATAAAATGATGTATTTTTATTAAATCACTTTTCTTTCTCTTAGTATTTGATTTGCTCCACAATCCAATCACAATTTAACCTCTGAAATGTAAAGCTGAGTTAAATTGTGAAAATGATTTATTTTATTTGCCAATTAAATAAAAATACAATAACTTCTTATTTTTTCTTTTGCATATACTCTGAGTAACCTATTTTGACTTTTTCCCTTTTTGATCAGTAATAAAAAAATATAAGTAGGAAATATATGACAATTACGTTATGATTCTACCTTCATTATATGTTTCTAAGCAATACCTTACTGCTATATCTTACTGCAAAATATGACCAAGAGCTGTTGAACAGATGTTCAAATACAATTTAAATATTAACTTTTTTTTAGAAGACGTTAGCCAAAGTGTACTAAGTATCAGTTACATAGGATGAGTAAATTTCAGAGACCTAATGTGACATGGTGAC